TAAATACTTTGAAACTTTATTTATACTTTGAAACTTTATTTCATGTGCAATGGGGCAAGAGCACAATTATTAACAAATCTGTTATAAAATGCTTTTTACTGCATTATGCAAGTACTCTACACTGCAAACAAGTACTTTTAGCTGAAATATAAAACGGGATATAATGAAACAAAACAAGGAAACAAACATACTAAATGAAATTTAGAAATTTCGCTCATATTGTAATAAAAATAGCCTGTTACGCTCTTACCCCGTTTACGATCTTACCCCACTTCACCTTACCAATTTAAATTTAAATAAGCATATGTAAATCTACCATAATTTGTAAATTTAGAAAATAACAGACAGCAGCTTATTGTATGTACATTTTTAAATAAAATGATTTTTTTATTCGTATATAAATAAAATTCTACATACAAATAAATTACAAATATATATAAATAAATTACAACCTACTTCTACAAGTAAATTAACAAATTAAAACAACGTTCAATTATTCCAGATAAATATTTCGCAATTCAATGTTTAATTAAGTAAATATTCTTAAACGATATTGTTTTTACCTAGAAATATTTTTCTGCCAATAATATCGATTCCAATAATCAGTAAAATTTCTGCTAATACGTAGCTCAAGGACAAGAACAAAATAAGTTGAAAGCGATCATTATTTATGTCTTGACAATTATGTAAAAATCCCATTGCCATATCTTGTATGTCGGTAGTACAAGCAAAATGGTTTTTGCTTGATTCGCTGAGATTTTCAAGTTGCTCGAGTAATTGAGTATTCCACAGTGCAAACCAAATAATTCTGATTATTACAAATAACTTAATATATGATTTATTACTTATAACTTAATATAACTTAATATATGATTTATTTTAAAAGAAATAATAAATATAATTTTAATTTCTGTGAAAGTTCACATTTTTTTATAATAAAATGTTTCGTTATTTTTTAAACAGTAATATAGTTTTAATATTTTTTTAAGAAATGATTCATACCCGGAAAATTGTAGACAACTTATAAAAATTGCTAATATGGTAATATATGTGAATGGTGTTTCAAATGTTGTTCGAGCGCGTTTGCGTGACTTTGTACAAAATTTTTGTATTGTTCTGAACATGTTTCTACCGTTTTCGACCTCCTCGTTTGGACGCACGCAGTTATCAAAATTGCTCAACTAAAATATCAAAATCTTGTGACACACAATAGTTTCATAAGATCATCTAAAAAAGTTCGTGTTATATTTACATTTTGTAACCGATCATATAAAATTTCTAAAATTCGTTTTATAATTTGGCAGCGTAAAAAATCTCTCTTGTTGAAAATTATTGATTAAAATATACTACAAAATCATTTTTTAATAAGACACTGTGTGACTATAACGAGCTTTAATTAATCATTAAACAAAACACATATTACGGCAATATCCTCGTTGCTTTTACTGTTGAAAACAGCACGAACTTTTCTATTAACAAAAATAACACAATGTTTCATTTCATTTTTCTTATTGAAATTTATCATAAATGACATCAGTACTTGGAAACATTCTACATGAAAAAATTAATTTTTTATGAAGTATTTCAAATCTTTTTCTGAAGTATTTCATTTTTTAATTCAAAATGAGTCACGAACTATTAATTTTTAATATTCTAATAATCTTTTTCTGTAAAATATTTGACTAAACTCATATACAGAAATATGCAATTTCATTTAAAAAAAGAGAATAAATTTTGAATTTATTTCTTTCTTGAATTTATTTCTTTTGAATTTATGCTTTCTTTTTTATTTCTTAAAACACATTAATTGAAATGTATTATGTCTTTATAATAATTATCTTTATATCTTTGTATTAATAGCAATATTATTTCAACATTACTCTAGCAATATATTTTAATATCTATATGAATTATTCAAGCCTCCTTTTTAACAAGGTTTTTACACATTAAGCACTAGAATTTAAATGCAATGTAAATAAAATGAAACATTTTAAATAGAATGAAAAAGACTATTAATATAAAATTGTCATACTGGATAAGTATTAGCATGTCTTGAATTATTAATTGCATACATCTGTTGGAGTATTGCGAGTGCTTCTTCCTGCCGCTGGCGATAAAGCATGTATCTGGGACTTGCTGGTAATAAACTAACTGCACATGCCATGATCAAATTTGGAACACTTCCTATTCCCGCAAGGACCCGCCAAGAATTTAGTCGAAATTTTTTCTTTTGCAATTGTATGATTGAAGGCATAATGAACCACGATAGTCCTATGCACAATTATTATGAGTCATAAAAATAAATTCATCCTCTTAATCAGTTAAGTGTGTTTGACGATTAAATCCGTCATGGAGATGTGGCAGAATTTTGTGTCATGACGACAGTATCCGTCATGCATAAAATTTGTTTACAATTTGATATTTAAATTGTAATTTTGGCGAAAACTAAACTATATTCGTAAATTGTAATATGTTCAAAATGTTTAGAGGTCAACACGAAATGAAATAAACAAATAAAAAGTGTAAATGATTTGAGATGGATTCATAAATTCTTGAGAGCTAACTCGTCATCGCTTGATTATCGCGACACACACTAGTGCGTGCTTTGCAAAAAGATCGCCACAGTTAACTGGTTAATTTAAATTGTGATTAAACATTCGTTTAATCACAAGAAACATTCGTTTATAAAAATTCACGCAATTATTATAAATTAGTTGAAATTGTTTCAAACTTATATTGGATTTCTGTTTATAACGTTTACCCAAAGCCGATATGTAACCGAGGACTCCAAATATGTCCAGAACAGCTAAGCTGGAACCTCGTTGTTTCATAGGCAAAAGTTCAATTAAAAAGACTTTTAAAACCACATTGTTACCGGCTAATCTAAATGTATTCACATTTTGGTTAAGGTAATTGTCTTCATAATACTAACTATTAGAAAATAACTAATAGTTTGCATATCTTGTGCATGGCTTTATAAGTAAAACTTACCCCATTCCCAACACGAACAGCGACAAGTTTATTAAAATAGTAGTTTGCGCAAAAGACAAGGTAGTCATAGAACAGAATACAGTAAGCATGGTTATATGAATTGATCTTTTTCGTCCATACTCATCAATTATTGATCCGAACAAAAACGCTCCTATAGCCATACCTATGTAACAAATTTTATTTCGACGAAGTAATATTTCTATAATGTGCATCTTGAATCATTGTTAAAAACATAAAGCAAATTTTTTAAACAAAAGTCAGTATCAGTTATATACAAATCTCACTTTCATGTACTATTTTATTTAAAGTATGCTAAATTAATGAATTTGAAATACAGTGATAGAAAATTTTAATAAATTATTAGGGTATTAAAGAATAAAGAATGTTATGTGCATGTGCAGGATGTTTAAGTTCATGCTAGCCAACATTTCTCATAAATTTTATATGGTTGAAAAAAATAAAAAAGCAGGAAGTGTTTTATATTTGCAATACTTCTTGCAGAAAGGTGATCTCCAATTTTTTAAATAGAATTGTATGTTTTATACAGATCAATTCTTTAAAACATTTTGTATAAAAATGTATTAAAGTACAATGAAAAAAAAATCAACATGTAATTGTGAATTTGTTTAACATTATACTCTTATACTTTTTTATGCAAAATGTTCTAAAGAATCAGTTTGAGTGAAGAAAAATTAACAGTTCCATTTAGAATGTTAAATCATTTTTCCGAAAAATATTACAATAAAAATTTCAAATGCGCTATCACATTGACTATAAAACAGTACAAAGTCTTCTAAACTTTAATCATTTATGAAATAAATGTTAGCTAGTGTTATATGAATATCCTAGACATATTTAATAGCATTAAATATCTTGGCATTGAAATAAGACAACGTATATACATTTTGTATCTACCAAACGTTAATGTAATATATGCAGCGGTTGCTTGATTAGTAGTTAAGTTTAAATCGCACGTCAAAAGTGGAACTGCGATTAGAATAATCGGAAGTACACAAGCGTCTGCGAATTTACACATACCACATAATCCAATGACAAAATAATGGTACAGCCCCCATCCTGCAATTAAGTTATTTATTAATATACTTCAATTTTTGAGAGCTTGTTAAATGTTTTATATTTGCAATACTTCTTGCAGAAAGGTGATCTCCAATTTTTTAAATAGAATTGTATGTTTTATACAGATCAATTCTTTAAAACATTTTGTATAAAAATGTATTAAAGTACAATGAAAAAAAAATCAACATGTAATTGTGAATTTGTTTAACATTATACTCTTATACTTTTTTATGCAAAATGTTCTAAAGAATCAGTTTGAGTGAAGAAAAATTAACAGTTCCATTTAGAATGTTAAATCATTTTTCCGAAAAATATTACAATAAAAATTTCAAATGCGCTATCACATTGACTATAAAACAGTACAAAGTCTTCTAAACTTTAATCATTTATGAAATAAATGTTAGCTAGTGTTATATGAATATCCTAGACATATTTAATAGCATTAAATATCTTGGCATTGAAATAAGACAACGTATATACATTTTGTATCTACCAAACGTTAATGTAATATATGCAGCGGTTGCTTGATTAGTAGTTAAGTTTAAATCGCACGTCAAAAGTGGAACTGCGATTAGAATAATCGGAAGTACACAAGCGTCTGCGAATTTACACATACCACATAATCCAATGACAAAATAATGGTACAGCCCCCATCCTGCAATTAAGTTATTTATTAATATACTTCAATTTTTGAGAGCTTGTTAAATTCATTGTATTCAATACTATACTTATATATTTCCATAAATATGTACTTAAATAAAACAAAATACTTATTAATTTGATGATAATTAGGTATCTGTCTACGTTTAAATATTAATTCCCTAATTTCAATGAACATTTAAATAATTTTAGAAGTATCTTAACCTGTTTTAGCTATAATAGTTTCACAATCATTAGTCATCATGTATTACAAAATGTAATAAATATTAATTCAATGCATTGAAAGATTCATTGAAATGTACATACACCATACAATTGCAAACTTTACAAAATTATTCGTTTTTAAATATAGATACTTAATCATATGAACTTCCCCTATTTTCGAAATTAAATCGAGACTGAAAACCTTAAAGGCATGTCTATCGAAAAACACAAAATAGTCGACAACAATTTTTATGAAACATATACATAGACACCTACATAACCATAAAATACTAAACAGAGACATCAAAATATGATATATTCAAATAAGCAATATAAGTATACAGACATACAAAAAAACACTTCTTTATTCAAAAATTGAAAACAGCTAATATTTAATACATAAATAATGTTAATTTTTAGTGAACATTTTTTTAATTCTGAAATAATCACTGATATTTTAGCAAAAAAAATGTAATAGAAGACACGTCATGTTTCTAGTAAAATATGAATATTTTTATTTATTGGTCCTTAAAATATTCTTTTGAGCCTACAACATCAGGCTTCATGGTTTTCTTTCCTGGTTTCCAGCCAGCTGGACATACTTCTCCATGTTTATCTGTGTATTGGAATGCTTGAACCAAACGCAATGTTTCATCAACAGATCTATGAACATAAAATTGTATTATAACAATGGAATGTCATTACGAACTATATGCAAAAACATTTTATAATGTATCTCACCTGCCGACTGGCAAATCATTAATTGTAACTTGACGTAAGTGTTGTTTATCATCTATGATGAAAAGACCACGGAATGGAACTCCAGTTTCTTCATCAAGCACGCCATAATCACGTGCTATCTTAGTGCTTTTATCAGCAAGAAGAGGAATGTTCATTTCACCAAGGCCACCCTGTTTACGTGGGGTATTTACCCATGCCAAATGACTGAAGTGAGAGTCAGTGGATGCTGCAATAAGTTTGCAGCCAATCTGCTCAAATTCATGAGCACGATCAGAGAAAGCAATGATCTCAGTTGGGCAAACAAATGTGCTGCAAAACAAATTCATTATTACATAACATAATAACCAAATTATTAGTTTTATACAAGTATAACAAAATTAAATACTTACAAGTCTAATGGGTAAAAGAACAGTACAACATATTTTCCCTTATAGTCGGAAAGGGAAATGTCTTTAAACTGACCATTGACAACTGCAGTACCACGGAAAGCCGGAGCTGGTTTCTGAATAGCTGGAACTGGCATAGTTAATCTTTGTTCCTAAAACAAGACAAGAAAGTTAATAATATCCAATTTAATTAATCCATAATCTTTTTACAATTATAAGTTACATAACAAACTTGATTATACATTCACTTTGATTCAAGCACACAATTTTTTATTAGAAATATGAAATAGCTTTTTAAATAAAAAGTGCAAAAGTTTTAATAACAATATTTTATACATATGTGTCAGTAAAGTATATTTACAAAAAAATTTACAATAATATTTTTACATAATATTATTCATCTGTAAATTTATTTTACACTGTTATAAAAAGATCCTATTATTTTATTTAAAGCAACAGAAATAAAGTCTCTACTTTTCCTAATTTGGTTTTTTACTCATAATTGAAATTTTGCAATCAGATTTACGTAAAATATCACAAAAACATAATCATATCCTCATAATATATATTGCATTTTATTAAACAATAAAAAAGTGATAAGATAAAACAAAAGGTTAAAGTATCAAAGTATACTGACAAAAAGAAGCTAAAAGTGTGTTGACCTTATATGACCTTATAGTAACTTGTTCTCAAGATCCTATTTGCAACTGTATTTATTTATCACCTAATATATGTACACATTTAATAGCAGTATGAATATTTTATACAATAAATGGTAATGAACTTAAAGTACTAATAATTTTCTGAAAACATGAACATTCATAGAATAAATGAGTTTCTCTCATAAATATGATAGACAGATTTGACACTATCAAGATTAAACTTTAACTTTCTCCATCTGAAGATATTTCATGTTATATTTTTATTCGCAAGAGAAACTTTTTTAATGTAAAAAATATTGAAAATCGTGCAAAAATAAAAAACAAAATTGAAACTTATTAATGTTGTCATATGCTGTATGTTACATTTCTTAGTTATAGTAGTGTATAACAATGTTATGATATACTGACATTTTTCCAAATTTCTTTTAAATAATTATTTTAACAGGATTTATAATTCTGACTAATAAAATAATCAACATCAATCTGGTAAAAAACATATAACTTTTACATTATTATATTGTTCTCCTATTTCTCATGTGATTTCTTTGTTTTACTTCTTTTAAATAATATTTTTTGTAATTTCTGAATGACTTTTAATATGCAATTGTAAGATTAAACGCAATATTAATATAAACTATATTTATGCTTCTATTTAATATGTCATTGATTTACAATTATATGATTTTCAGGCTCAGCAACAAATTAGACATTTGTATGGTTTCTTTCACTTTTGTCATTTGTAAATAAGTTGCTAATAAATTGAAATCCTAAAAATATAACATTATATGTATGATCACTTACAATTAAATATATAATTTGTATTGCAAGGACATATTGAAATATAATTCATGATAATATTTAGTACATATAATACTGGTAATAATACACAAAACAAAAAAAATTTCTTTCAGATAAACAAGAAAAATTTGTACAGAAGTTTAATACAGTTATATGTGCTGATATTTAAAAAGCTCCTTTTGAATTATCATAATTAAACACCTAAATAAAAAATAATAATAAATTTTGTATGCCTGCTCATCCCATAGACATATAAAAATATGTGTTACATTATCTCTTTATATCTATGGCTTATCTCAATTTCTTGAGATGACTTATCAATAGTCCATACAATCTAATGCTATTATGACATTACCAAAATGTACAATATTTCACAAATCATAGAATAATTTTAGAAATCATTTATTAGCATAATTAACATAATTACATAGCCTTGATACGAACACACATAAATGCAATGACTGTGGAACGTGATTAAAGCTTTGTAATTACTAAACTGTTATATTCAAGGTCAATGAATAAAAAATGAAAGAAACGTAAAACGTATGTTATACTTTATATATATTTTTAATTATATACTATGTATAAATAAAATAATATTGTTATGTACAATTGAAATTAATAATTTATTTACATGCCGATAAAAATTTTATATCGATCATGCTGACTGTTCGAAAGTGTAATAAATGTAAATAAGTTTGCAACAAGTTTCGAACAAGAAACGAACAAAACATTTAACACAATCGATCGATTAACCTTCGATGAATGTATGTACTATAAATCGATAAAAGCAGCTTTAAATGTTTTGTGTTATGTGCAATTTCATTTTTTGTGATGCAATGCTATATACAAGATGAATAGATTGATTTCTAACAGTGGCGTCGCAATTCAAATTTCCCATACGTAGAACTATCTTGGACAAATGGATTCCAAGTATTCGAGAACATTCCACCAAGAATTTATTCTAAGAAACAGCACAATTCAAACGGGAAAATACTTAAAATTATATAACGTTAATTTATACTGAATGAAATAAAGCAGAAACATTGCTGTTTCCTTTATATTCAAATATAAATTTTTTGTAACGAAATATAGATTTAAATATTGATAGCAGCAAACATCAAGTTTTGAAAATCTTTAAAAATAATCGTAAGAAAGTACTGTTAATAGAAAATAACAACCATAAATGTAAATGTAATACCTTCTCTTTGTAGTAAAAAAACTGTCGTTCACTTAAATGTAACGTCTAACGTCTTCGTCGGTTCACAAAGAAATGCAGAAATGTGCGACCCGGTAACCGGTTTTAGTAAAACATACCTGGCATTTAATAATTGGGAAGGGAAAGATTCACTTGCGCCATCTACAGACTATACTGCCCTCTATTTTCAAACAATTTTTGAATGATTGTTATGTTTATTTGTCTCTACGTTTATTGTTGTAAATCATTGATGTATTTAATTTATAATCATGAGCGACAATTGTATTCACACGACTCTTTTTCCAATTATTACCTTTATAAAATTTTTATTTTACTGTTATTTCAGAATCAATGTCGGCTACTAGTATTACCAACAGATTCTGGACAGACTATTTCAATCTGACAAAATATAACTAGAATAAAGTTTTTTCGAAATAGCAACTGGTTTCTCCAAAAATTGTAGAAATAAGTAAGAATAATCTGTCACTAACGCTTTTATTCATTTTTATTCAGAAAAAGACGAATTTGACAGAATTGGCAATGACGTTTCAAGATGATTATAATCAAAACATGACTTACGTATTTGCACGGTTAGACACGAAACATATCACTCATTTGTTGCAATAATGACATGACTAAAAATTGGTAGTTTGTAAAATATTAACACAGATAAAAAGATTTTCCTTATTTGTATTTTCTACAAGGACTTTTTGTATAATGTCTATACAAATTTATAGCGTCTATAAAATTCAATTTATTCAATTTCATTTGTATTTGTATTTAATAAGTATAATATATATGTATGTGAAATAAATAAATAAATCTGCAATATTTAGAAATTTTACAATATATATGAATAGTTATTAAAACTATATTATTAAAATGAAATTTTCCTACTTAGAGAAAAAAATATGTTTATAAACAAAATATGTAAATTTTGGTTTTTATTTTTTAATATCTATATATAGGTTCTAAATAATCATAATTTATTTCAATTTTAATACTTTCATGTTATAATATCAGTTTATGATTACTTTTAAAAATTTGTAAAATTGATCACATTTTAATCCTTTATTCATTTATTAACTTTTCTTAATTTACATTAAAAATATGATTAACATATGATGTTATACCCATGTTATTTATACATATATGTCATATTTAACTTATATGAACATGTATAAATTACTTTATAAGCAATTATAGAAGCAAAAAGTCATTCACATAAAAACTTCTGTATTAAGGGGAAATGTTGTGTAAGTTTCTTATGGATGATCATGTAGAAATAATTTTAAGGTTATCATATTATTACAGATTATTGAGGATTACAGAAAAGTATTATTTAATTGGATGGGTTAAAATCATAGCTGATTAACACTTTGTAATTTCAAAGTTGGGAAAGTTAAGTAATCTTTATGTAATATTGTTCTAATAAATATATCATTTGCATCAATAAGTTTGCATTTAATACTTTTGACTATATGTACAACTAGTATATGTACTGAAATATATACATTTAAATTACTCCTACATAATATCTCTTGTGACTTATGAATATGTTATTTATCAGTCAAAGTTAGATATTCTTAAATTTAAAAAGTATAGTTATATTTCTTGATACTTTACTTAAAAGAAAACTTCTTTTAAACTAATATCTTTAAAATTAATGTTACAATGAATTACTAAAAAACCAGTCTGTTTAATGTTAAGCGACTGAAATATAGACTGTTATATTATAATAGCTATCACCTCTATTTTATAAATTTGTCTATTTTAAATTTATCTATTAATGTACTTTATATTAGTTGCCTATATTTCATATTCGGTGGATCTAGCATCATTGCTTTTTAATTATTTTAAGGCAGTATCAACAAGTCTGATACTACTCCCCATAATCTCATTTTTATCTACAAAAAGATTTTTTAAACTTGTTTTATGAGCATAAACAAAAATTAAATCCAAAATATCTTATACTATATAATATTGTGTTGAACATTAAAAGTATTCTGTATTAATTTTATTGGCTTTTTTATTTGAAGGTTTGAATTACTATGTTTTAACTGTAGATAATATTAATTTTACATTGTGGATTATGTGAAACTAAACAAAGATGCTGTAACTAAGCTAATATGTTTCTACTACTGAATATTATTTTTTACTACTGAAATAGCATCTCTTTCTCAGATACAATTATATATTTTGTCACTGAAATATTAAAAACTATAAACTCTTATTAAAAGTGTAAAATTGTATACAATGTTTTATTTAAAAGATTAGTAGCGAAATGTATACACAACACTTTTATGTCAAAGTACATCATACATCATATGGTGATAACAGCAGGTAGTGTACCCGAAACGGGACACACCGATTTTTTGGCAGTTCGTTAGCATTAAAAAATAAAGGTATGTATTTTTAATAATAATGTTATTAAGATTGACTAGAATTATTATTAATAGTTATAATTAACTAGTTTAACATCACAGATATAGATATTACAAAAGAGAATTATTGTGTTAACCTTAATGCACTGCACCGGTTAATTTGAGAAAATTGAAAATCAAGTATTTAATAATACCTTGATAAAATACTCTACTTATATATATAAAATCTATTGACTTTTATTAACGGTATTCAAAGAATATATTTAGGAATTAAAAATATTACTTGGCTGTTTTTGTTATATACAGGGTGTCCCATTCAAATCAATCCCTAAATTCACGAGAGAGCATTATTGCCAAATGACAAGTTTTTGTTCGTTCTGAGCATGTTGGCTCTGATTGGTTTAGCACATTCCGTAACCAAGGGTTACGCGCATGTGTAATCTTTATTATGAACTAAATGTGTATATCCCGTGGTCTTTTATACTGTATACATACTGTCAAAGTGTTGGTTCCGATTCATTAGCAGTTCGTCTCCAAAATTAAATATATTATTTTTAAACTTTAAAGTTCTCTCATTTTGGAACATAGGATTTTTGAAATTTGGAGTTTGTTACATTTGAAAGTTTTGAATTTTTTAAATTTGAATCTTGGGACTTTAAGAATTTGGAATTTTAAAACTTCGAAACTTTGGGCCATTAGAAATTTAGGATATTAGAGATTTGGAAATTTGTGGATTTAGAAATTTAAGAATTTGGTGATTTGGAAATTTGAGCGCTTGTATAATTTTTAAACTTTGAGACTTCAGAAAAGAATGTACAATCATAATAATTATAATAATAATATTTTAGACAGCGTAATAGCGGAGGGGTGTTTGAATTCATTGGCGTTTGAAAAAATGCAATTTTTGGTACAAGAAAATATTTTGCATTGAAATTGAGCCGTTCCAAAGAACAAGTAATTAGATGTAAGATCTTTGGCAGATGGTTGCGTAAGGACCATATGAGGTCACTCTTTTGAGACATCCTGTATATATATATAGAATATGTATCGTTGCTAGTTTTGAATACTGGCGCAACACGACAAATTTTTATTTTATTCAAATTTTAATTTATTTAAATTAAACATTTAATTATATCTATAGATCTATAATATATTATTATTGTCGTGAAAAATATAATTTTCATTTTTTAAACAGAAATATGTAAATCGAATGGTATATATATATTCAATCCAAGTTTGAATAGTGCACTTAGGTTAAATGTAAATAAAAAATTATTGCGTGTAGATGAGATATTTATTTACTTAACATGATTTTGTTAATTTATGGTACAAAATTATATAAAAAGATTACAAAATATTTATATTATTTCAAACACTAAGCCACCATTAAAAATATGATTATACAGTTTCAGAATTAAATATAATTATGAAATAAAATTCTTTAAATGAAATAATATATTGTTTATGTTTTTGTTTTGTGTATAATGTATATGAAGTATATTATTAATTATATTAACACAGTGGTATTATTATAATTTTTAAATGTTCTTTGAAAAATACATTATTATTTATAAACTTATATTTATATTCTTATTTGAATATTATTTATAAACAATATATCATTAAAAATCTCTAATTAAGTACAATCTGATAAAATTTACTATTTTAGAATTATTTCTTATTCAATTCTTACTTATTTATTTTTTTATTTGAAATTCTAAATAAATTGTTTATAAACATATACTAAAAAATTGTGTATTATCGTTTAGTCAAAGTTTTGTTAATTCGAATATTTAATAATAGACATGTAAAAACAAAATCAATAAATATGTTACGTAAATATGTGTATTTATTAAGCTTATAGCTGTCCAATGTACTTCCTTTTTCATGGAAAAGCAATACTTAAATGTTTATTTTCTAATCTTTTATTTCATGTATTATATATCTTATGAATACATAAAACAAGTTGAAACATGAACATTTCATAACATGAAATCAATAATACTGTTTTATAATTTATACTGTTATTTCTGAAGCATATTGTTTTGAAAGTATTTGATTCCTACTGTACTGTTCAAATTATATACTCATTGCAGCAAGAGTTATAGAAATAATATGATAATTATAATTTCTGGAGCACTAATAAATAAAGTGAATAATAAAGTAAATCTTTTAATATTCATTGTTTATATTTTGAAAACATAATTTTAACTTGCAAAAATAAGAGAAAATTTCTGTCAGAAAAGGAACATATGTTTGTGATAACTTTTCATTTTATACTAGAATAAATAGTTGTTCGTGAAAGTTGTTTTAAATGTTTTTGCTATTGATCGATACAGTGAAAAAAATATTATTCTTATTATATAAATTTTGTAATTATTCTCATTATTTTATAACAAAATATTATAATCTCAATAAACTCTATTCTTATTGCAATAATTAATATTTAGATGGTTTCAGCTAAAAATCATATGAAATAAAACAATAAACAGTTATAACTCGTATTTATTCCAATCAAATAATTAAGCAATTTTTTTATATCAAACTTATTTGTTAATAAATAGTATTTAATTATAACTGCATAGAATTATTTAAATGTATAATAAATATACCAAAATGTCAACTCACTAAATGAAATTGAAATTGAATTTAGAATCGTTTTTGTACCTTCCATGCAAAAATATTTTGTAAATAATATTTTATAGTATATTGAAAAACAATGAAAATGTTTTAGATGGAATAAAATTATTATTATATTTTGTATGATTAAATTTTGTTTTGTGAATGACAATACATCATACACACTGTTTATACATGAGTAATTTGTCTTTAATAATAACAATTTATATAAATAATACATCTGTTTTAAACTACAACGCCAAAAGAATAATACAATAATATCTGTATTTCACCTTTACATATTAAAATACTAAACAAGACATAATTTTAGTAGATAAATACTTTGAAAGTACTTTCTATTGTGTTTTATTTATATGTATATTTGGCACTTATCATGTAAGAATTGTAAATTGCATTAAATTTAATACATATAAAATTAAAGAGTTCCGTCGACGAATGCTTAAAATTTAATAATTCATCGAGATCGGTTTGCTCTCATATATTTCTATAATTTTATAGTGATCTAAGAAAACTAAAAGACTTCTGCATCGTTAGAATGGATGACATAATTCAATATGTGGTGTTACGAGGAGACCTCTTAAAGACAATGGGATGGCCCATAGGCGCAGTTATAGCTCAAGCATGTCATGCATGCACTGCTGTTATTCATCTTTTTTATAATGACAGTTACACTCAAGCCTATCTTGCGGATCTAGATCATATGCACAAAGTTGTTCTCGAAGTAAGTGTACCCAGAATTGGCATATATTATAAGTATTGGACGCGAATTCAAATGTGATACTGTGCACAATTTTTTGTGTATGTAATACAATTTTTAAAACAGCGAAGGAGTATGGTGACATTTATAGTATGTTCATACATGAATATATTTATACATATATAAATATTAGGTTCCAGATGAGACCGCTTTAAATGCTTTATGTTCAAAATTAACAGACGAGGATATTCATCATAAGCTCTGGATTGAACAGCCTGAAAACATTCCAACATGTTTGGTAACAAAACCTTATCCTAAGAGCAAAGTACAATCATATTTTAAGAAATATAAGTTACTTAAACTTGTAATAAAATGAAACTTTATTATTTATCTTTTACAATGTACTTTTTGTCTTGTAATGTATACCAATTGTAATAAAAAGATTGAATAATATTATCTGAAACTTTTTTACATAATGTTTTAAAGTTAAACCTAAATAATGTTACATTTAATTTGTAGGAAAAGAAGTCACCATTCCAGCTACAATATTCTAGAGTTGCAATTACTCACAACTTGGAAAGTAGCATCCAATTATTAAGGAATAAATTAATTTTCTGCTTTTTCAAATTTTTTCTTTATTTTCAGAATATTTTCTTCGTTTTTCTTATATAAGTAGCAAGTAATTCTATCTCGGGTTTTACTATACGCCAATATGAAAACCATAGACATATACTTATAATTTATTTTACAATACCTAATAGTATTGACAATGTGTACACATTACTCCTTTGCTTTACAGTTGGCGTTATCACTAATCTAGATGAAAATTATATAAAGATATGCATCGTTAACTGATATTTGTATAAAAATTGTTTTTTACGACAGTGCAAAATGTGCACTTTACTCGATATGCCGAAGACAACAAAATTACACAGGTACGCGTAATGGCATTGCGCACATAAATAATATGCATTCGAAAAGTGAGTTTCAACTATACGATAATCGTCACACTTCATTAACTTTCAGCAAAAAATAATTTTGACGTTTCTAAGCAGTTCAGAAAAAATTATATAAATTTAAACGAAATTAAAAATTTAACCTTCTCAATGCAATGCGATTTAAATTAAAAACTCTTAAAAACATAGTGATGTGCAATACAATCCATAATTAATACAATAATATATAATACATAATATAATTGTGCGTAGATGTATTTGGTTTGCGCCTTAGCAAACAAAAATAAAAGAATAAAATAAATAAGCGCAGAAGAATAACGTTACTTGAAATTTCTATGGATATATGCTAAAAGTAACGATACTTCTGAAATTAAAATTAACAAGTTTCTTTTATCGATTTCATTTACAGCTAACTGTATTACGATGATTAATATTTCAAATTTGCTGCGTGGTTGCTTAGGTTCGTTAAATTTACATTTTCTACTCTCGTAAAGTATACCTATGTAGCAAATACATAAATACAATAATCATTCGTCGTGTAGAATGTTGTTTTTTAAAAATTAACACGTTTTCGTAGGTGACTGATCGTATCAATAAATCAATATTTCCACAACTTCGCTATCATCGTATTACGTTGTGCAAATGATATTTTGATATTGATATTTACGTTTTTTATATTGACATTTTATATTGACATTTATATTTGCATTACAGACGAACTGTCAGTAAAATTATATTGATGTTCTATCCGCGTTCGCAGTAGTAAGCTCTAAATATTTATGTACACGCACTATTTGCGGACGCTAAACACTGTAAGTACACTTATTTACAACACTCGATGGCAAGATGATCGTTTTGGCATACACGCGTTGTATATGCCAAAAGAAAGAAAAAAAAATATATATATGTAAAAAAATATATATATATTTCTTTTTCTTAAATAACTCGGTTTTTCACGTCAAATTAGATGATGTTTTCACGATGGAGTATACACATAGGTCCTTGAAAATATATCCTATCTTCCTTAATATAATTGTATCACTGCCCTTCTTCTTCTCGTTCTTCTTCCAGCCAATCGTGAATTATGTTTCTTCTTCTCTGAAAACACGAATAAACAATTGTGTTGAAATTAATTTGTAAGGAAAACGATTTACAAGAACGAAGCAGGTGTGAAAGATTCGTTCAAAAGACGAAAGATCGGTCGATTTTGAAATATAGAAGTACGATGCTTTTGACGCATAAACTGCTATTCGTTTAATACAAATTCATGTTCGCTTATGCACTTTAATGATTATCTTATTACAATCAAAAGTCACGTCGTCGTGCTAGTAAATAAAGCAAATGAATTTGAAAGCAAGAGATCATTTTGTAGACAGACAGCCGAAAGATTGTTATTAGTATAGATTATAGATTATATGTTTTCTATGTTTATGATTTTTTTAACAACTGATTTATCGTTTGAACGAGACATTGTATTGTATATACATCTCCTTTGGTCATCTTCAATGGTGTAGATTCTGTTTGGAATTTAACCCATTAATTCCGATTGGTATCGGACGACATTAATGGGTTAAGTTAGAATCTGATTATTTTACAACTATGATTTATTTTGTCGCACTTTGATTACAATTTATGACACGAGTATGAACCGTCATTGTAAGATAAGAAGTTAATGTTTGGTATGTTTAATATTTCTTTGATGGATCCTTGAGGGGACGCTTATAGCCCACAGTCGACGCGGTTATTCATGTTAAATCTTTTAAATATTAAACTTATAATGCTCACCGCTGATCTAGCTAGTTATTTTAAACTAAAAACATTTTTTAATAGCTAGCTGATCGTTACGGTTTTCAGTTTACAAAACCGTCCTATTTCGTTGTACATTTCTTTCAAGTGTTTTTGTTTACAAAATTTATAACAAAGAACTCTTAAAGGATTAAATGACACGAATTTTCGATAAAAAATGTGTATGTACGTGATAGGTGCACTGGTACATTTTAATACGGATAAAATATTCAAAAAGTATTCTAAAAAATCGAGATTTTAAATCTCATGGATACTTAAGAGTTCGATGAGAAATTATAACAGTAGTTAACATAAGAACCAGTTATTATTTCTACAATAAAATTTGAAAAAATCAAATGGAAAAAATACAAGTACATTTAAATTCACTTTCACGTACACCAAATATACTATGTTCCTACTCTAAAATTACAGAAATTTTTGCAAAAAAATTGTATATCATAACTATGTAACTACTATAAAACATTATAAAGTTTACTAACCACACGAAAATGATATTAACTTCTTAAACATTCTATTAAAATTTGTCTTCGATTACATAATCGCAAACCAATCACTAAAGTACTAAAAGCCAATTACACGTAAAATGTAAATAATCATTTACTGTTCTACGTTTTAAAATATCTAAAACAAATTATTTGAAATGAAAGTAAAAATAAGCAAAGTCACAAACATGGAATGTATAAATATTTAGACAAAACCGCAAGCGTTGATCATTAATGGTTTCTTTCAAAATAGCATATAGGTAAACATGGAGCTAAAGAGGAAGGAAGCTGCAGAACTAAAAAGCTTTTATTCAACATATTTAGTTACTTGAAGCGTGTTGTTTTGCTGATGATACATGCAAACAACGTTAGTATAACTACGGGATTTGCAATTACCAGGACCACGTTAGTTTGGGAGAGCAAGGTGAGACGAGTGATGAGGGCGATGGCGGTGGTGGTTTTGGTGGTTGTAGTGGTGATGGTAGTGGTAGTAGTGGTAGTAGTTGTTGGTAGTGATTAGGGCAGCGCACAATGGGCATTATTGCTCGGCTAGATTTCCGTTCTGCTCCGTATACTCCTCATAGTCCTCTTCGGGTGCCTCATAATCCGTTTCGGCAGGTTCAGGACCGTCGACTGCTGGTATCGAAGTGCTAGTGATGTCCTGCTAAGCATAATCGACAATCCAAACGTTCGTTGCACCTACTTAGTTTCTCTTTGTAAATCTATTTACATGATTATTATCTTCAACCGAATCCGTTTTTATCCGAGTTCGAGACTCTGATAGAAATAAACATCGTATAACGATTAGTACATAATTACTGAAAGTTCGTTTTTATTTTGCTTTCATGCTTTAACCAAAGTTTTAATCCACAACATTTTTAGAGATGTTAATGTAATAAAAAGGAGAGGGAACATCGTACGAGCATATTACAAGTTCTTCCCTTGTTAATGGATTAATCGAAATATGCAGAAAACAAAGTGGATACCTGAGGTGGTCTCCATCCACATCCTGCTAACGGGAGTCCATCGGCCCCTAATGGACAGGGAGCATCGAGTCCTGGAACACCCTGATCTCCCTTGTCACCTTTGTCGCCTTTTCTACCGCGTTTCCCTTGCGGTCCCTGTATTCATACACAAAAATGCATCAGAATATAACTAGCAAATAAGTAGATATATTCGCGAACGTGCAAAAAAGGCCAGGCACAAGAAAGACTCTCTTTATGCATTATAATACTCAATTAATTATGCAGAATACGCAATTGAGCATTAACGTTCAACAAAGGCGTTAAGGGATATTTTGCTTTAAACACGATAGTGTACTCTAAATTATCTGAATTGTCATTTTTTACGGAATTATCGCGTTGAAAAACCGTGATCGTGTGCTACGTTTCCGTTTTTGTTTTCTACTTCGATTGCTGCTACAATTTCGAAGAAGTTATCGATAATTTGGCGGGCACACTTTCGGTATACGCTGGTGGCAGCACACATAGTTGCATGTATCAACAAAATGTTAATCTCAATTTTAATGTTTAATTCCTGTCATTCTCGTATGGGACTATAATTTCGATGAATTTTAACCGTATGTAAAAGTACAGTACGGAGATATGAGAATGCAGAAATGCAAATTTGGGTTTAAGTTTGCATGCGTGATACAGAAATACATATTATATTATCCCTTGAATCGGTTGATAATTTCGCACTGTTTGTAATCGAAAATTAATGTTACTTTATGAATAAACACTGATTGTACGTCAACGTATGGTAAACTGACGTCTTTTTCATGTGATATACTTAAATAGGGAGTTATCCATAGATTTGGTACTAAATTTAACGCTAACAGTAATGTTAATTTTAGCAGTAACAACAACGCAAATTATAATACTTGTGATAATGATAGCGATTACAGTGATGAGAACGCCAATGATGATGGTAACACATCAAATGTGAATTAGGCAACAAGGATAAATATTTTTGTATTAACTGGAAGTGTTAGGGAAAGTGTTAGCTGTGGAATACGGTAATTTTAACCAATTATTACATTGTACAATGTTTATGAATTAATTCGCTCTTCAAACTACAATTTCCTTGCCCAATTAGTTAAAACTGATAGTGGAATTACATCAATACTCACAGATTCGCCTTTAGCACCTTTCTCCCCTTGCGGTCCCTGGAATTGGTACGTTAAAGAATTTATTCGTTAAGTGACGGTCATGCCTCTCGTTTC